CACGAAACAAACGATAGCGTAAAATGAAACTATAGATGTTTTTATATCATCATCCATATATCTCGTTATATCGAACAGCCCTAGAACCAACTGTAGACTGACTGAGCTACTGCTCAGCACTCCCAGTCTGCTTCCCACCAAACATTCATCAGGTAACTGACTGTAAGTGTCAGTCGATGGATCCACGTCAGCACATAAAGAGTCCTGGAACAAAGTGAACACAAGTTTAGCCGTAACGCACAACGCCACACCAGACCTCCTCATGTGAACGGTCAATGATGGTGATTCTTTACATTTGCTTTGCAGCCACAGGATCCGGGCACACCGTGAACTCCTCTGTACACCAAAGGAGTCCAGAGTCAGCTGTGAGGCCCTCCGACAGCTCAAGCGCGGTGGGATCTATGGTGGAGCTGCATATCACGAAGACTGTCTGACACGTGACAGCTGTGATGGCTGATTGCTTGGTTCTGTTGGTCACTGCGTGCCTGCACAGCATCGTCTGCGCTGCATGCTCCAGAACACAGTAGGTTGGTTTTTGTTCTTAATGCATCAGATTTTATTTTTATTGTATCCTATAGTTCAGGTTCTAATACATAGTTTGATATGTTGTTGATTGTTCTTTGTTTTCATTGTATTCATTTATGTGCTTATGCACATGTGTATAAATACACAGATACTCTGTTGTTGTGCTACATGTAGGGTGTACAGCAGTTTGCAATGTTGTTTTGCATACAGACTATACAAACACATTATTAGAATTTTATTATTATATTATTATAAATATTAACCTGCAGTTACTGTGGGATGGTGCCAAAAACAGTATGTTATGTGTACTTAACAGCACTCGTGCCAAAGGCTAACATAGAAAGAGCATTTAGAATAAGCTAACAGGAAGCTGAGGTAACCCCAGGTTACTGACTGTACAGACAGTATGTGAAACATGCAGAGCCAGACTTGTTCTCACTTGTTACAACTGATCTTTTGTGTCGTTGCTTAAAGTGGAATAAGATAGAGGAGGTGGCACCATTAAAGCACGGTAACGAGAACAACAACAAAAACCAAACAGAAAACTCCATGAAACTCAAAGTGGATACAAAGCAGAGCACTCAGGGTGTACACGCAGCTGAATGAGACGTGCTGCTTAAAGCACTTTGAGGGCTCGAGTAAAAGCTCCACATGAGAACCATTTACTACATGAAGACTGGATGAATATAACACTCACAGACATTTCAGGGCCTCCACTATGGGCTCACAATGTGGTCATAAATATTTTGTACTTGTAAATCAGGATTTGTATGTGTAAAAAAAAAAAACA